CTGGCCACACACTGATGAAACACAAAAAATAAAAGACCCAGAGTCAGATATTGGAGTTCAAACTTCAGGCTGAAGAACAGAAAAGCAGGAGAGGGCCACTAGCTCTTATCACTACAGCAGGCTGAATGGGCTGATCTGCTGCCTCTCCTCAGCATGGATGCAGAATCCTGAGACTGAATGTCTTCCTCAGCAAGGCTGGAGAATGAATGCCTGATCCTGACCTTGCTCCTGTCTTACGTACCTCTCTAACGCTGGGATTAAAGGCGTGTGATTCCCAGTTGCTGAGATCATCTTTGTGTGAGCTATTTCTCTTTGAGGCTGGATCAATGTTATATAGATCTGGGTGGCCTTGGACTCACAGAGATCCGTCTACCTCTTAATCCTGAGTCCTAGGACTAAAGGTGTGTACCGCCACTTCCTAGCTTCTGGCTTCTGTGGCTTATGGCTGACTTTGCTTTCTGAATCCTCAGACAAGCTTTAATGAAACATAAATAATGTATCACCACACCCTATCTCAAAAAAATAAAAAGGAAGAAAAAAAAAAAAAAAACAAGCAAGCAATCAAGCAGGCTGAGCAAACCACGAGGAGCAAGCCAGTAAGCAGCACTCCTCCATGGCTTCTGCGTTAGGTTCCTGCCTGGAGTTCCTGCCCTGAATTCCCTTCAAGATGGTCTATAACCTGTAAACTGAAATAAACCCTTTCCTCCCCATGTTGCTTTTGGTTATACAGTTTTATCACAGCAACAGAAACCTAAGAGATGCTACAAACAAGAGTCTTTAGCAATAAAATAAATACAGTTCGTGCCTATGTTCTGCCCAGCTTTCTGGTCATTTACAGTAGAGGAGCAAGTCTACAGGCCTCCTCTTTTGTTTCATCCCATTCCGTGCTATACAACTACAAATTTTCCTAGATTTGCCATGACCGAGGCAATTCTTACAAAAGCAAACACTTAACTTGCTTGCTTACAGTTTCAGAGGTTTCGTGTCTACCATCATGGTGGGGAGCATGGAGAGGGCATAACAGCACTCACAGCCCTGGAACAATAGCTTAGAGCTACATCCTGATCTGCAGGCCACAGAGACGCACCGGGCCTGGCATGAGCTTTGGAAACCTCAAAGCCCACCCTCCTAATCCTTCTCAAATAGTGTCATTCTCTGATGACTAAGTGTTCAAACAGCTCAGCCTATGGGGGCAATATTCAAACCACCACACCCCTGAAACAAACATCTTTCAGAATGTAACTCTTTTTTTGATTGTAGGAAAGTGCTTCAACTCTACACGCCAGCAAGAACTAAGCAGACCTGTAATTAAACATTAATATTTCCACAAGAGAATGAATATCCACACTTACTGGGATGAAGAAGAGGTATAAAGTACCATATCCATTAAGGTCAGGTTATGAGTCTGAAAAGTACTGAAAAGTTTTCTGAGCTTTTAAGATTCTTAAGGTGTGTGTGTGTGTGTGTGTGAGAGAGAGAGAGAGAGAGAGAGAGAGAGAGAGAGAGAGAGAGAGAGAGAGAGAGAGAGAGAGAGGGAGGGAGGGAGGGAAACAGAGAGAGAGAGGGAGGAAGAGAGAGAGAGGGGCAGAGAGACAGAGAATTGGGGGGGGGGCTGAACCATATTCATTCCACCACTGCATCCAGTTTTTTCACAGGACTTTCTTATAAGCCAAATTCAGGTGCAATGGTAGTTTTCAGACAGTTCAGAACTGGCAATGCCACTGGACATCACCTTGGGAAATCCCTTCCTTCACTGTTTAGAACCTGAGAGCCAGAAAGATGAGATGAGTTACCTAGGGTCGCATGCTGTGTACCTGCAGCATGAAATTAGAGACACACGCCTACAGTCCCCCCCCCCTTCTCTTCCATTCCCCCCTCGTCCCTTGCCGGCCCCACTGAGCCTTGATCTGAAGCAATGTATCTCAGTTGTTTTTTTTTTTAAAGTACTGAAATAATTACAGAAAACAAGTTGCAAAAAAATAGGATAGAGTTCTCTGTACCTTGGTCCCAGCTTCACTCAATAGTGGCAAAATTTTACTTGTAGTATAATACTGAAATCCTACCCCAAATCACCTTCATTCTATTTTCATTTAGCAGCTTCACAATCTCGTGTTCAGTTTGTACAGCTTCATCCCTTGTCTATAGACTTACATAACCACCATCACAAGGCTCCAAACTGGTCCATCAGCATGATACAGTTCTTCCTAGTTTCCACTCCTCCCTGCTCCTCAAAATGTCACCTAATTACAAGTCACTTATCCGTTCTCCATCTCTACAGTTTTGGCATTTCTTTGGCGTACATATCCCAGTCATGGTCCACTAGGGGAAGCCAGGGCAGAAGCCTGGAGGCAGGACCTGATACACACCATGGAAGGCTACTGCTCACTGGCTTGCTGGCTTGCTCCCAACGGCTTGCTCAACCCCAGAACCACCTGCCCAGGGTGAAGTACCACCCCAGTGGGCTGGGCCCTCCCACATCTATCGTTAATCAAGAAAATAAGTCAGTCTTCCTTACAAGCCAACCTTATAGGAGCATTTTCTCCTTTTTCCCAGACAACTCCAGCTTGTGTCAAATTGACAATAATAATAATAATAATATAAAATACATTGTATAAATGGAATTATACATAATACAAACTTATGGAACTGAGTTCTTAAAAAACAAAACAAAACAAAACAAAAAACTGGTGTTAGGAAACTGGGTGTGGTGGCTTTAATCCCAGCACTCAGGAAGCAGAGGCAGAGTTCCAGGCCAGTCAGGGTTACAGGGTGAGACCCTGCCTTCAAAAACACCAATAAATACAGTGATAAAATGTACTACCTGACCTCATTGGAGTATGTGGCTCAATAGTGCTAGCATAACAACTGCTCAGGGTCTACCCTTCCACTGAGGTTGGCCACTTGGAATCTTTGTGTAAGGAATTACTCTGTGTTTTTATGGGTTGCTAATTTCACTCAGCATATATCCTCAAGGTTCATCTCTGTTGGAACATATGCCAGTTTTTTATTTATTTTTTTTAAAGGTTGATTAACATTCCATTGATGCATTCACCACTGATGAACACATGAGCTGTTTCTACCTTCTGGCTATTGTAAATAATGCTATAAACATAAACATATAAAATCTGAAACTGTTTTTAACTTTTTCTGGAAATATACTTAGAAGTAGAATGGCTGAGTCACATGGTAACTCCTAGTTTTAAAGAGTAAAATTTAACTCTCCTTACTTCAAATACTTCCTTTGGGACTCATCCAAGCTGCATGAACTGGTTGGTATCAATACTTTTTTCTTGTCAAGTGGTGTCTATGTTTGGGAGGGCACATATATGTTTAAATAGATGTGTACAGGTGTGGAGGCCAGGGAGGGTCACTAGGTGCCTGCCCTGATCTTGTTCCCCCTTATATTCTGAGACACAGTCTCTCACTGAACTCAATTTATCTCTAGCTGAGATCGTTAATAATACAGGCTGGCTGGTCAATGGGCTCAAAGGCTCAGCCTGTTCCCATATTGTACCACAACACTTGGGTTACGGAATCCACTTGTGCAACTCTTGGTGCCCAGCTTTTTTGTGGGCACTTGGAATCTAAACTCAGATGCCCACGCTTGTACTGTAGGCAATTTAGTGACTGAGAAATCTATTCAGCTCCACCAAATAGAATTTATGGGTATGTGTTTATCATAGTGTGACCAATTATTCATCAATGAATGATATTTGGGTTGGTCCAGCTGGGAATATCAAATCCCCATGGTGAGAGCAACTTAATTGTCAACATTTGCTAATAAGACCTTTGCACAATTACATCCAACTTTCAACATTATAAACATCCCTGTATGGGTTCTGATATAAACATGTTTATTTCTTTGGGATAAATGTTTAAGAGTTGGACCAATGAGATATACAATATATATTTAATCTTATAAGAAACTGCCATTTTCCAGATTGGCCATACCAATTTACATTCCTATAAGCAATACATGCAAAATCTGGTTTTTCTGTGTCTTCAGCAGTTATCTGCTGGTGCTTATTTCATTCCCTCTCATGCGAACGTGACAGCATCTCCCAGTGAGGTAAATCTGCATTTCTCTAAGTGCTAACCCTGTTGAACAATCATAAGCCTACCTGTCACCTTTTCGTTCAACTGTATCATTTCTTTTTCCACTACTGAGTTTGTGACAAGGTTTCCTGTTTAGCCCAGAGTTTGCCATAGGAGTCCTCCAGTCTCTTCATCATCCTAAGTACTGGGATGACAAGCCTCCAGCCTCTTTACATGGTTGACAGAAATCAAATCCAGGTTGCTGTCCTGGCATAAGGAGCTGAACTGGCAAAGACATCTCCCAGCACAGCAATTTTTCTTCATAGTTGAAATAAATTACAAATCACAAAGTATAAGTTGTTTGTTAAATGATAAAGTTTAAAAAAAATAAAAACCCTAACAGCAGGTTTAATGCTGGTCCAGCATTATGTGTAAAAGCCTCACGATGTTAATGACTTCTACTTGAATAGTCCTATACCTGGATATTTGTTCAGAGCTGTCTACTTTTGTCTGTCTTTGTTAATCTTTCTGCAGGTGAACACTCTGATAGTGGGGAAATGAAACACCACTTCTTGGCTGTGACTGAATAAACACAAGTCAGTGCAACATCTGCACCTGTAATCCTTAAGCCAAACTCTGAAAAACACGCAAGATTTCCTCTTAGGAAAGCCATTTATCCACTGAGCTGAGCCAGAGTAATGTTAAACACACACACACACACACACACACACACACACACACACACACACACACACGGATTTATCCACTGAGCTGAGCCAGAGTAATGTTAAACACACACACACACACACACACACACACACACACACACACACACACACACACACAGAGTATAAAAAGGTGAAAGAGAAGAATGGATCAAAGCACTGGCCAGGCCCCGGAGTTGGCATGAGTGTCGCAGCGACCGAACAAGAGCGAGCACGAGCGGGCACCGGTGGGTCGCTCACCTGGCAGTGGAAAGCAGAGGATGCTGGGTCCCCACCAGCTTCCGGACCTGCATGGCGATGTTGCTGAGCTCGTCACTCAGCAGGCAGCGGAGGCTCATGAAGGAAGCGGGGTACCCCACGATCTTCTCCGCCTCTGACACCACCTGGTTCCAGTGCGCTGGAGACCTGGAGGACCGACCGCGCCAGGAGATGGTGTCGTGGGACCTGGGGCACCGCCGCTGGCCACCGGACAGGCGCAAGAGCAGCTGCCGCAGGCTCATGTTAGAGTCTGGGGTGTGTGGGGTCTGGGGTCGGTCGGGGAAGCCGTCCAGGGACGGATGGCTCAGGCAGCGAGCAGGGGCTGCACACGACTGCCGGGGTCAGACAGTGCAGACCCTCGGACAAACGTGGCTTTCTGGATCTGCAGCCGTACCCGGGGACAACGTTCGCTGCTTCTGCGACCTAAGCTGCCGGCGCTCGAAAAACAAAACAAAAACAAACCACACCGGCCACCGCTGGCAGAGGCACAGCCACAGCCTACATGGGGGGCGCCATGTCGGCGGCGCGGAATGCGGCCTGCCGTGAAGATGGGGGCGGGCCGACGGGCGGCAAGACGCGCGCCTTACTTTACGGCGCCGCCGACTCCGCCCCCGGAGGGGCGGGGCCTGGGCGGCGACCGGAAGGCGGTGCGGACGGATGGATGGAGGCCCCGGATCTGGGAGGGTTCCCGGTCTCCCGAGCACTGCCCCGGCCCGGCCCGGCGCAGCGTGGGTGAAGAAGAGCCGTCTGCGCCTGCAGAGGGGTCGCGCGCGGGGCCGTGAGCCGCTGCCTCCACCCCGCCCGGCCGCAGAGCTGGGCGCTCTCTGCACCAGGGTGGCCCCGAGGATGGGATGGAGCGCGGCTGGCTCCCCTCTCCAGGCCTGAAGATTCACCGGCCTGCACTGCATCTCATGTGTTGGCTCGCTTAACCTTCCGTTGCGTTTTAAAGATGTTCCTGTCCCCTGCGTTTTGGGGAAACTGAGTGATGGACGCACGGCCAGCACGGGTTGTAAATGACTACGGTCACTTTGAGCGAGAGTGTGAAGCCAGGCCTCGTGCACGAATGCCGGGCTCGAGCTCTTCCACCGAGCCACATACCAGACCTAGCAATTTGCTTATTTGGATTCATAATCTTTACCACGACATTAAGTAATATGCCGCCCAAAGGATTATTATCAGTGTGATGACGAGCTCAGTATTGGAAGGCACTTCTTGCTATATAGGCCTGAGAGGTGTGAGACTTACTATGTAGCAAGAGACGGACTGACCAGTAACTACTGAACCTTACCTACCTCTCAGACTATGGCATTACAGATGAGGGCCACTCTGCCCCTCTAGTGCTACCTACTCAAGTATGTCTAGCGTGTTGCCTTTCTATTACTCAAAGCAAGTGTTAAGGTCGCAAAACCTTAGGTTCAATCATTTGCAAATAAATAAATAAATTTAGGAAGCTAAGTAAAATGTAGGGCAGTGGTGCCACCCCCTTTAATCCCAGCATTAATGAGGCAGAGGCAGGAGGATCTCTGTGAGTTAAAGATCAGCTGGTCTACACAGCAAGTTCCAGGACAGCCTCCAAAGCTACAGAGAAATTCTGTCTTGAAAATGCAAAAGAAGAAAAAAGAAGCTAAATAAAGAAAAGAATAATAAAGGATTTTTGCCTACATTTTGCAATCAGGAATAGTTTTTAAAACTCAAGCTTTCAAATTTTGTAGTTCATATTTTTTAAGTTCATATCATCTAAATGAACTAGACTTTGAAACTACATACAAAATGAAGATTTAAAAGATAAAGAGAAATTGTTCACACTGTAAAACAAAATGCTTTTATCTGCAGAAGGTGTAGTCGCAGATCTCTTTGACTGCCAAATCTGTGATTTTAAGTTTCTATCTTAGGGCCAGCACTCAGGAGGCAGATGCAGAAGCATCTCTGAGTTCAAGAACAGCCTGATCTACAAAACCAGTTCCACACTAGCCAGGCTGGGCTCCGTAGTGAGATCCTGTGTCAAAATATAAAAATAAAAATTCTACTTTATTTACAAAAAAATTCAGTGTAGATAAAGCTTGGAAGTACATTTTATTGGAGGTGAATCACATTTAAAAACACTCTCCCCATAAGGGAGGTAAACTGAATCTTAAAGATAGTTTCTATGAAAGAGATATGTTCCTAGCAATAAAGCCCAACTCTGTTACTGTATAGAAATAAATGTGCAAAGTCGAGTATTTTGCCATTCTAAAAAGTTCCAAGGCCTGAGCTTCTGGGTTATCCAAGGAGAAAGAAGTCATGAAAATCCAGAGAGAGAAAGACTGAATGTGATATATTGTGCACCCAAGGCTGTTTCTTTTCCATCATGGTACCTTAAGGGTAACTTTTAATGCATTTGCCTTAATAACAATTCACAGCATGTACTTTAATTTCTCCACAGAAGCCAACTACATTATTCTCTGGTCATACTCTATTAACCAGGTTTTTGATTATTCATGGGACTTCTGGTCCCATTTACTTTAAATAACCAGCACTTTCCTTTATACTTACAGTTAAAAGGTTGCATTATATCTAATGATAATCAGTCTTAGAAGGACAAAATTATATTTGGTCTTTAATCCTCAGATAAATATATATTTCCTTAAATCTTCATAGCTTAAAGAAATGTCTGAATTGCTAATGACTTTTGCAGGAGCATGGAGGGGGTGTGTCTGAGATTCTACCCTTCCTTTGCTACTGATAATAGATATTTTAAAATGTGTGATTGTGTTCATAAAGGAGGAATACAGAAGTATTTCTCAGCCTCAGCATTATTGACATTTTGAAACATGATTCTTGGTTGAGGGGGGAAAGAAACCTGTCCTAATTCTTGTAAGATATTCAGCAGTATCCCTGACCTGTGCCCACTAGATGCCTGGAAATACCTTTTCCAAACTGTGACAACCAGATATCTTGTCCCTAAACACTGGTGAGTATCCATCCTCGGGATGACAAACTAGCCCACTGGAATATGAGAGATACTGAAAGCAAACCCTATCTCCAACTATGACATGTATTCCCACAAAGCATCAAGGGAAAAGTCTGTCAGAAGCTCTGCAAGATTGTAGTCGGCCATACACAGAAACTCCAACTTAGTAATTGGATATTTCCCAAGGCAGCAAACTAACAGAAGGTGGTCATGTTTCTTCTCAGAACCCCTTCTCAGTAAGTGGACTTACTTAGCCAACTCTCTGCATTTAGCCAACCTTAGAAAGAAGCTTGGCCATATTTTGTGGCCTCTTCTTTAAAATCACAAGCTAATCTTAGGAAACACAGGTATCAAGGTTGGTGATGCTGGGGGGCATTAGCATTCTCGTGATTTTGTGACTAAAAACAGGTAGAGACATTGCAACCACTCGTCTGTTGCTCTCTGTGCAGTTGCATCTTGTTTATCCTGAGAGAGCTCTTGCATGAGCAAAGGAAAGCATTGTTGTACACTTCGGAGCTGGATAATAAAGGGATCCATGTAATCGGTAGCAAAACCCCACAAGTTTGACCACCTGCTTGATTGACGGCCGTGAGGAGCAGGGACAGCACCTACTGACACTAAGAATATAAAATAGCACGCAGCAATTAATCACAATGTTATGTATACATTGCCTTTTGACCCAGAAATATCAATCCTAGGAACCAGTTCTAAAATGCAGAGTGACTAAAGCAGTTGTTCATTACTGTGTTATTTTTTAATAGAAAATAATACAAACAACCTCAAATTGTAACTGAATAAACTAAGGTAGATTCATCGTGAGATACATGACAACTGAAAAAAAAATTGAGGGTCATCTCTTTATATATTGTTCAATATATATATATGTATGTGTGTGTGTATCAAATTTTAAAAAGGTGCAGATAAATATAACATTTTGGGGAAATAGGTAAGCTATGAATATATTTTAGCATAACTTTTGAACAGGAAGGAACAGAGATTAGCATAGAGACTAGTAACTATTCTAATACCCTTGACTATATGGCTTTGGCTTTAGAATCATGTATACATTTTATGTAGTTAAAGTAATTTAAAATACAAAAGAAAAATTAATACCTAGAATTTGAAAATTAACTGAAGCTAATTATGTAACTGCATATTAAGTTTTTGTGTCATAATTATTCCATGTAATAACTAAGTGCTTTAAGAAAATGGTATTTTCACCATACATTGCCCATAGAATCTTTAGATGAGCAGATCTTATTCTTATTGCTCGTAGAAATATAGAGGTATTACTTTTAAACTAATCCCATATGTTATATACAAAAACAAACAGAAGAATTGTTAGGAATGAGGATTTTTCAGAGTGAGTAGAATTCATATAATACTGAAGTTGAATTAGAAATAGTAAGTTTATGATTTTTTTCCTTTCAAAAATGTTTCTTGATCTCAATGACAAAAGTTTTGTATTTATTGAAGAAAGCATCTGCTTGATGCATCCCTTAAGAAGGCCTAGAAATGATGACAGTTGTATAGTATATTTAGTGTTGTGTTGTACTTTTGATACATTGCTGTCTATAAAAAAGTAAGGAGTTGCAAAAATGCTTGCACACCCACTGTTGGCCCAGGTGGAAAGGCCTTCACAGTGTACAGTTTGTCAGAATGCGGACCTCTGACAGTTGGGGTGCTTTGGGAACCGGGTCCTTTATAGGTCCCTCTGGGCAGAGGGCGTGAAGATGCTGGAATAAAGGGAGATGACCTGAAAAGAGCCAACAACTAGCAAATCCGTGTGGGACTTGGCAAGTTGTGTGTGTGTGGGGGGAGTAGTTTTGCTGAGCAGGGGCAGGGGGGGCGGGGGGGCGGGGCATGGAAGGGACAAGTGGATGCAATCTAAATACATTATATACATTTATAAAACCACCAAAAATAATGTAAAATAACAAAAAGTAAGGAGGAGTCTTGGAGGAGGAGTAGATGGCATGCTGAAACAACAACAAAATGTTTGTAATGAACCTGGAATAGCCTGTGGTTCCAGAGATTAAGAAAAAAGATCAGCAGGACAGGGCAAAGATAGAAAGGCATCAACATAAAGGGGTTGGGAGGGGGACAGCGTGAGCATCAGAAAACAGTGAGAACCACAATTGGTTAAAGTTAATTGATTGCATATGAGCTCATGAGTTCATAACTAGATGTGACTTGGGCAATCTGAATATTGTCAATTGAATGAAAGAACCGAGTGTTTGTTCTGCCTTTCCCGTATGAATTCCATTTAGTGGTCTCGTACCCTGGCTCGCCCCCTTGAAAACCGAG